GGAAAACCCAGAATCATTAGAGAAAATAGCGGAGCGAGCGCTGGGAGCACTAAGATTTTCACCAAACGCAAAACTGAAAATAATGCCATTCCAGGCACATCATGCCATTCCAGGCACATCACGCCATTCCAGGCACATCACGGCCAACACCGTAATCCGTAATCTAACTAAAAAACCATCTCTAAGAAACTTGAATTGGTCGAGTGTTCTAAAATCTAAGTCTGCATATTTAGACGAACAATATGCCGAAGCCCAGAAAATGCCGAAGCGCGGACACTCATTGGGGCATGCAATTGGATAACGAGTACGGGGGATACAAGGCGTAATCACTCGTTCATCTTAACCCAAAGGCAGGCTCTGAGTCAGGCGGATGAGCCAACGGCTACTTCCTTTCAAGGACAAGGGGGCGACAAAGCGGGATCATCCCGCAAACTGTATCAGCGCAAGGGGAATCGGAATCTAAGCAGGTACAGGAAATTGAATACTAAAACTGTTGCGGAAAGTACGCACACACTAAAAATAAATAAAGGTATTTTGCTTAGGAAATCTGGGGTTGCAGTTCGGAAGGCCTCTACGCCGAAAACGGACAAACATCGACTCAAAGATTCAAAAATAGGCATCGTTCGACTGTTTTGATTGAATCATGACACCAGCACAGCCCACTCTATCACCTCAATAATGTTCAGACACTTATATACGGTCGAGCTCATTATTTTTCGTCGAGACAGTCTTAAGTTTTTTTGCTTGAGTCGAGCACTTCCAACCATCTTTTTTGTTGTCGAGACATAATTTTGGCCGAGCACAGTTGATTACATTTTTTGGTCAAACACGGTCGAAACATTTCTTGCTTGGGTCGAGCACACGGTCGAGCACCCGTTGCTTACGTCGAGCACGGTCAAAACGTACAAAATTTTGACCAACCTGGTCAAAATAGTTCAACTTCTGATCGAGATGGTCGAAACATAGAAAAATCAACTCGATCCGGAGTTTAAGCCTGGTGTTCTCTCGAGCATTTACTTCAACCATAAAAATTCGATGTTAACAAAATCTTTTTTTCTTCTGTTGGCTTTATTTTGTGTGTACTTTGCGTTCTTTGAGACACACAAAAGTCTGTAATAGCCGCCAATTGCGCGTCTGCTGTATCATTACCCTCCTTAAACTTCAAATTGAGCAACTCGAAAAAAGACTCGGTACATTATATTTTTTATGACAATTGAAAAGTTTATGACAAACAAGACATTACAAATACCTTGTTCAGTTTTGACAATATTGTCACTCGACTAATTTTATGCGTAAAAAGTTTGAAGAATTTTTCGATTATTTAACAACTGTTTTCGATAAATTGACTGTCCAAATCCTTGAACCAAAAAGTATCATTCGAAAATTTTTTTGTTGTTCCGACGATGTAAAAAATGCAGAGGAACTTTACATATTTGATTCGTCTCTGCATTCCCGGGTTGACCAAACATGCTTAAAATAGAATTCTCATAAGTGCAATATTTCTTTTCATACAATTCCATAAAATCTCTATTAGAAACATTTTCCCATAAATGGAAATTGTATGATAGGTGTTTTTTCCATAAACCAAAAAGTTGTTTTTTGTTTCTAAATTTATTTTGAAAAATTGTGGGTTATGTTTGCAACCGAACACAAGTGACAAAGACCTTGGTTACTCAAAGCACCAGAGGTTGGACGGTCTTGCATTTGCAATGCATAGAAAATGACCTGAATTGTCTTCGAGCTGTCTTTCACAAAATATATAACAAAAGTAACAAATTTTTTTTTGGCAAAAATTTTCAATGATAATAATTTTAAATTTTTGAATTTTTAAATTATCCGACATTGATCAAAGCATACATAAACAAGCCACACAAAAGAAATAAGAATTTTTAGCGTTTTTGAAAAAAAATTAAGGAAAAGAAAAAGCCAACGTTATAGTATTCAGACTATGTTATGCACACAAAAAATTAAGTTTTGCATGTAAAAAAATTTTCGGAAAATGATTGTTTGCGTACAAAATTTGATTTGCGGTTATCAAAAAAAACTCAAGAAAAACAAAAACTATTCTGCGAACATTGAAAAACAATTGTAAACTGTTCCTTTTGTGCTTTTTTCCGTAACATTTTTGATGAAAAATTATGTCAAATATGCGTATTGTACTCTTGCTATCTAATAAACCTAACTTTTAGGGTTTTGATCAGATCCGATCATCTCCGATCGAACACAAACATCAAAGTTTGCGGAAAAGTTTCGTTCAGTTTGGAGTGATCGGATATTTCTGCGCTCCTTGCTCAGTAACCCGCTGTGTTAAAATTTTTATCGATCTGCCGTTCTTCGCAATAATGATTATTCGATTATCATTATTAATTCGACATATATAATAAATGAGCAAAACAAACTAACATTGAAAACTTCAACCGCATTATTCTCCAATTGGGTTCAGATGAAAAGTGAAAAAAACTTTTCGTTGCGCAATTCGGGCAAAAAATTTTGCCTCAAGATGGGTTACTTTTAGGCTGGTTTTAGACAATCAGAAACTACGCTTAAGCTAAGAAATATTTTATGAGAAAAAATATAAGCCGCTTATGTAGTTCAATTTTCTGAAGAAATCTTTCACCTCCAAAAATGTGCAAATATATACAAAATTTTCTTTTTTAAAGTGATACCTTATCTGAAAAAACTGACACTTTTTAGTTATTTTACAAAATGAAAGTATTCATGATAATTTTTCGGTTATTTTACAAAAAAAAGTATTCATGCAAGTTTTCCCAGATTCTTTATTTCTTAAACATTTTTGGGCAACAACAGGACGCACTTGATGATTGTTTCATCATAAAAAAATCGGCTAGTTATCTTGTAACTTTTTCCACCACGGTTCGAAGTTGTGATTTTATGATCAGACGGTTGCAACCAAATTCTTGTATTTTCAGGGCTGCCGCGACCGAAATTGAATATTTTCAGACCACCGCGATCTCCAACTGGTATTTCCGGATTTTGACGAGCGAAGCAATGTGACCGAGGTGCCATTGAAGGAATGTTAACTGCAACCGGCGCCACCAAATGAAATTTAACCGCGACCGGTGCGACCGAAGCAAAAATAACGGCATTCATGGAAAACGCAGTAGCGGATTCAGGGGGTAGACGGACGCCCCCTCCCCATCCCCAGACCACCAAGGATTCGACCTCTTGGCCACCCAAAGGGTCCCCCATTTGGTAGTATTTTAAGACCTGACTGACCCTCGCTTATGCTGACTGAACATAAAATTTTTCTGAAGACGCATTTGGCGCCACATATATTAACTTTGAGGGGGAGCACGCGCCGAAAAAACCCACCTTTTGTTCAAAAATGTTCAAAAAGAACCTACAAACGATTTTTTTGGCCTGTTTTTCAATATTGCAAAAAAGTAGGCCAAACAGGTCTTTTTAGTGCTTTGGGAGTGCTCTGAAGCTCAGTTTGGTCGATCTATAAAATGTGGTCGATGAAACTTACATTTTTTTGAAATTCCGCTCCCCCTCCCTCCCCGAGAAAGTCCTAGATCCACCTTAAGTATTGACATAGATTTTCCAGAAAGTTTTGAGCAAGCTTTGTTTTTTTTTACCTCACGAATAATTTTTTGACCATGTGCGACTAATTTTTCGACCATGCCTCGGATTATTTTCCGACCATGCCGCGATTAATTTTTTTTTTATTATGTCGCTACTTAACAGCTTGATTTAAGTGAAAAAATATACGTATGAATTTCAACAATTCAGAGCGAAAAAAATAATGTAGACCGTAGACTATTTTTTCCTGAGCCGACTATTTTTTCGACCATGATGCGACTAATTTTTCGACAAAGCCGCGACTAGTTTTTCGAGCATCGTGACCGAGAGATGCTTTTGCCAGACTCAGTCCGCCACTATTTTTTGACCACCGCGACCAAGATGGTTTTTCCAGGACTTTTCCGCGTCTTAAAACCCTGTCCAGACTATGTATTTTCGGTCGCGGAATTTTCATCGACAAAACCTATCCGATTACTGACGGACGTTTGATTGTAACGTTTGATTTTTTGATCGGCAGCACTACATTTGCCGGAAATTTTTGAAAACATAGATTTTTGAAAACTCAGGAGACCATTTATGGCCCATAGTATGGACTTCTAGAGCTGGATATTTTATCACGTGATTTCTTGTTTCGTGATTACTATCGGCGTCTTCTTGAAAACATTGTTTTTGAAAAAAAATGAGTTTTCAATCTTTTTTAACGTTCTATAATTTGTTCTATGAGGAAATTTGTTGTCAAATGTACCTAATTTACAAATACTATTGAATGTCTACACTTTCGTTTAGATCCTCTAATCGCACCAGAAACAGAAAAAGACGCCTAGTTCTGCACGAGAATAGTGCTGCTGGTAAAACACACTAACACAAAAACGTATAATCAAATTATTACCCGCCTATGTTATCAGAAATATATTTTAAAAGACCAAAAGACTCCTCAAGCAATTTCTCGAAATGTTCCATTTGCAGCATAATCAGACAGTTTAAACAAGAACTAAAACGCCTAATTGTTTCGGAACATCTGCCTTTTAGAACAAAAGATTTCAAAAAAATAAAAAAGACAATGATTCTTGATCTGAGAAAAAAACTAAAAGACATCGATTTTTGAAATAACTATAAGAAGCAAATTTAGTTGTAATGAATCAGTTTCAAATATTCCTTTGTCCTTCATTCTTAGGTGTTCAAGTAAGTAGAGCTTTCTTTTTGAGCACCTGTTTTTAATAGCATGCGTTTTAAATCATCTAAGCGATTAAATTTTACTTGCATGAGTTTTTAACGATTGTTTTTTTTGCGTTCATTTTCAATCATGTTACAAACTTTCTTACAATAGCAATCACAGGTAAATGGTTCAAACTAAAACTATCAAATGTTTTTTTCTCTAGTACTACAATCTCAGTTTAATTAGATACTCCAAAACTGTCATAAAAATCAAACATATCAAACAAAAAAAAACAAAGCAATGAACCGAACTGACCAAATTGCTGCCAACAAAAATAATGCATAAAAAGTTATACATTTAGACGAAGTTTCTTTGTCTAATTCGTTATTGGTTTTGATCGTTTGCATTTTATAGTTTTATTATTAATTTAAAGCTTAACTAATAAATCGTTTTTTAAAAAAACGAACAGTAAAATATTTGTATCAAATTTACAACTCATTAAAAATCAACACAAATGGCGAAGAAAAACAGTGAAGCTTTTTGCCACAAAGAGGAAATCAAAACAGTCAAAAACGAGGTCGGCGAAGCGTTTGGAAAAGTTAGCGAATTATTAGAACTAATCTCAAAATCAAACTACGAAAACTGCATCTGCGGAAAGGGAAAACCGAACGACAATGAAAGTATTGTCAATGAAAATGGACAACTTAAAGCACAAATCGAGGATTTGAAATACGAGTTGACAAAGCGAGACCAGTTAAAGGAGGAAATAACTCGTCTCAAGGAAGAGCTGGATCAAAACTCAAAAAAGAGCGAGGAAAACTCGGGCGAAAATCTGAAAAATTTGGGGGAAAAAATTGTAGCACTGACTGATGAACTCGAAAACACCAAAACCGTTGCGGAACAATTACGTAATGAAAATGATCAATTGCAATCTGATCAGCAAGATTACGTCAGAAACATTGATCAAATGACCGACTTGAACAAGACTCAGGAGACCAAAATTGGAGAACTTTCGAAGCAAATCAAGGATTTGGAAACAGAAAGAGATAAATTAGCCAAAATGGATAAAAAGTGGCGCAAGCAAATGGAAGAAAATGACAAAGAGTTAGATAAACTAGACGCAGAAATTGCGAAACTGAATTCTGGCTTGAAAGAAAAGGATTCAAAAATGGTCGAAATGCAAAAACAACTCAAGGAAAACGATGCAAAAATCGCAGAGATGCAAAATCTAGAAAAAGGGAAAAATCAGAATACTGACAAACCCCAAAAATCGGATACAAAAGACCAAATCCAAGAAATTAAGAAACTGGAAGAAGAAAGTTTGGAGAAAAACAAACTTCTAGAGAAAAACAAGAAGCAAATGGACAAACTAAAATCTGCATTCGACAAACAAAACGAAGATTTGGATAACTTAGAAAAGGAAATTGAGGCAAAAGACAACGAAATTGCCCAGCTCAAGTCTGAAATAGCACAGCTAAGTCAGAAACTGCATGCGCTAAGTACTGATGGCAAGGATTCGAGCAGTCACAAAGATTTGAACAAAATCAAGGAACTAGAGAAGGAAATAGAAAACCTGAGAAATGAACTTGAGGCGAAACATGACGCCAAAAAGGACATGAAAGAACAAATAGTCAATGGAACTTTCACCGAAACGAAAGAAATCGCAAAAGCCGAGAACAATCCGAACGGTGTTATCGAGTCCAGTCGGTTTTCGGTCGTCAATCACGACCACAAAATCAATCACGACTGCTTAACTACGACAATCCGCATTCCAGACAACTACAGAATCGTGGAAATTTCCAAAGTTCCCAACTGCCAAAAACATCCTCAAGCTACTACGACACTTTCTACTAGTCCTCGAGTTTTAAATTCGGCTTACTTGCCGAGTCGCCATGTGCACTATTGTGATAGGAACTTCTGTTATGCGAAGTATCGGTCTGATTACTCTATGCCTACCACTCTGCTGTGCAGATGTCCAAAGTGCTCAAAGCATAATCACGAGATGGGGATTTGTCGAAGCAAGCCCTGAGCTACAAAAAGTTGACTGTGATTTTACAAAGTTTTGCATTAAAAGTATATAATCAGAGTTTACACCGAATTTGCAATTTTACTATTTTGAATAAAAAAAATTTACTTCTCCATGCAAAAACTCAATCAGAGGTTTTTTTTCATTTCAAACCCAAAAATTCTCATCAGACTTCTAACCTAACAGTTTCCACACGATTCCACAACAACAAAAAATTTCCTGGAAGTTATATGGCTACCAGGGGCGGATCTTGTGTTTTCTCGAGAACTGGGGGAGGATTTTCCAAAAAAAATTCAAAATTTGATCGATCTTTTTTTTTACTTCGAACAAAACTATTTCCCGAGCTCTCACTATCACTATAAAGGTCCTATATTGACCAGTTTTTCTGTATCACAGAAATTTTGAAAAAAGTGACCAAAAAAAGGCGTTTTAGGCACTTTTTGGAAAAATTTGACCTTGAAATCGCGTTTTTTCGGCGAGTTTTTCCAAAGTTAGTCCATATTGACGCCGAAGCAGCTTTTAGAAAACGTTTAGGGTCCGCGAGCCATAAATAGGTATCTTAATACAAAGGGGGAGCCCTTAGGGTAGGCAGGGGGTCGAATCCCGAGAGGGGCACTCCCCCCCCCCCCCCCCCCCCCTAAATCCGATGGTGATGGCTACCACTTTTCCATAAACAGGGCACTCAACTTTTTCTTTATCAAAATTTTTTGTTTTTGTAAGCAAGCATGAGTGACAAAGAAGCTGGGTTTTCCGAATCTTGAATCACGGAGGCATTTAAGATAATGCAGAAATTATGATTGCGATCAAGCTGAAATAGGATGTTTTTTATGCACAAAAGTATTGATTTTCTAAAATTAATAGATATAAATTTTAATGAGAGCAGTTTTTTGAAAAAAAAAGTTTGGATTTGTAGCTCACCATCCAAGGAAATGTACAAAAATGCGAAACAAATAAATTTTTTTTGCATAATTTGGCTCTCAGCTCAACGTTATAAAAAAGACAAAATTCGTTTGGAGCTTCAACAGAATAAAAACTTTTTCCTAGTTAATTTGATCATTTGCTATGAAATTTCTGGTTTCTTTTCTAGTCGTAAGAAAACTAGATTAATCAAATTTTCCTAGATAGAAACTGTAAGTGAAGCTTTATATCGAGGAACCTTGAAAAAATTTTTGAAAATTAATTTTCAGCTTAACAAATTTTTTGCACAGAGGCTGTGCTGGGCTTCTGGTCATTTAAAACTACTGCTGGGCAAATAATTTCATTGAATCGGAATTGGCACAAATTTATTTTAAATTCGGAAACGGTTTTTTCCTGCTTTTAACATTCAGACAGAATATATTCTGTCACAGAGCACCGAGTTTTAGCTTTCACACTTTGGCAAAACACGGTTTTAACAGACAAAAATCTGTCAGCCAAGTTCGGCCAAGTTTTTTGAACTAGTTTAATTAGCTAAACAAAACAGAAAAGGTTTTTTTGGGGGGAGGGGTTGGAACCGGGTTACTGAGCGTAAACTTATGACCCTGTCAAGTTCGGCGCATGTTTGAGTTTTAGCAATGAAATAACCTAAGCAGGGTTCGAACCTGCGCCGAACCCACCACGACGAACTGTGCATACGCTCGGCTACTGTCCTTGTACGCAACTATAGCTCAAACTTTTATTAAGAATTTGTTCTTTTTAACTATTTGCTCTGCAACATCCTCACCCCCCGAAGAGGCGAGAACCGGAGCAAGTTCAAAGAGGGGTCCTACTAATTGGCCCGATAGGCTCTTAACGGTTGCGGAGCGAGCGACGTTAGAATGCCGTAGTGCAAAGCAATTACTCGACCCAAAGGGTGGTGCCCACCAGGGCTGCTGGGATCGCCAATCCAGACGAGATACCAGTTCGTAAATGGCGGTTCGAATCGACATGCCACTGTGAGCGCTTGTACAAGGAAGGGACATAATCCATCAACTAGCCAACGCTACCAAATAGCATTTGCGTAAGCTTGTGCTCTGACATAGCGCTTTCGGTGGTCGGAACTTTCATCAAGTGTTAGCGACGGAAAGCTAACAGAGTGCTCAACCAAGAGAAAATGATTTGACGTTAAGGCTTCCAATTCAGCTGAATCGTGACCAACAGGCGTTATGGGTCGCGCATTTAAATATTGCTCTACACTTACATAACGTAGTCGAAAATACCTCATCCGTTAACATGCGAGTTCTAGTGATTGCCTAGAAAAGGCTTTTGCAACTGCGCGCTAATCGTTTATCAAGATCCAGCGTGGTCCGGCGCGCCAGAAGGATTGTATTTCCATTTTTATCCCTTTATGATCTAACAATGCGGGAGCCTGTCTGTTCCAACTTGGTACGCAAAGCAGAGGTTCTATCTCAGCTCCAACGAAATTGGTACCGTTGTCTGACCACACAACACTTGGCGTACTACGGTGGGCCAATCTTTCAATCCTCATGTGGTAAGAGATGGAGTAGATAGACTGAACAAGTCGACACGGTTAGTCATGCAGGTTAACAAAAAATCCCATTTTTTTTCTTTACTGCAGTGAATAGTCACGCAAATGGGAGCAAAATAATCCACACTACAGTTACTGAATTGCTGATGGCGGTAACCAAGCCGTTCGACAGGGAGGTCTGACATCATAGGATGTAACGTGCTTGCACTGCGTTTTGTGCAGCCAAAACAACATCAATCAATTGCACGGAGGGCCGCTTGCAGACACAACACCACAAACCCCATAAGTAATATGGACCGCAAATAATCCAAGTGTTGATGGTCGCGTGCAAATTGCAGATGCATCAGAAACAATTTCACCAACAAATGACAAGAATCTAAGGCGATGGGATGCTTAGTTTCAAAAATAATTTCGGCTAAGCGTTGAATCAGCGCCGTGGAACGAATGATGGCACCGCAATGCGAAAAGACTTTTTTACGGGTATGGCAGATTGAAACTCAACCGGGAACATTTGGGATTGAGCCAAAAGTCTCAATTTATCTTTCGCAATTGCTAATTCGGCCGGATAAGTTATTTGAGCAGTAGGCCCGAAGAAGTGTTTCTGTTTCGGCAATAACCCCAACATAAAGCAAACATGTTGCTGCAGTTTCGTAAAACTAATATACTTCTCCCAAACAAATACGGGTTCTGACTCCTTCGGTTTACTCGTGAAAGCATGTGTCTAACTGTCTATGATATCTTCCTTCAAGGTAGATGCCAGCCAGGCTGCCTGAAATTGCAGTTTCGGAATGGACAAAGCCTTCATTGTTGCTACCCATGATTTGCCAGGACCGAACGCTATTTCAGGTTTTTGAGTCTCAATAATCCTGGCAAGAAAAAAATCAACAGCGCAAAACACATCTTGCGAGTTATCCCACTCATATGCAGCTCACAATTATCAAACGGATTATTGAAATAGCAACGGGGAATGACTAATTCTCCTAAAGCAAACAGGCTTGAACAAGTGCTTCCGGAGAGCATCTGGTAGGGGATCATCCCATTGTTGCCCAGTTATGCGCCAAATGTCTGTAAGAAACAGGCGAGCCCTTATTGTGGGGTGGGGTGCCACAAAACCAATAGGGTCGAAGACCAATAAAACAAAACTGAGAACAGTTCGTTGCTCAACGGATATTTGGAGCTCACTGTTAACTCCACGACTAACAACAAGAGAGTCACTTCCATGGTTCCTCTTTAGCCCTAACACATGAGAATGCAAATGGCTATTATCACTCGCAATGTCCTTTACTTTTGCAGTTACATCAATTGGCGGGTTTAAATTTTCTTCAATTGCAAGGACATTACTAACAAACGGAATCCTCCCAATTTAAAAAGGTTCACCATATCCTTGCTTACTCTCATTGCGTCATTGCGGTTTTCGAATGAATCCAAGTAATCATCCATGTAGAATCGAGGAAGTACTGCTCTAGATGCTTCAGTAAACATTTTAACGTTATCCCTGGCGGCTTGCTGAAGTTCGAAATTCGCGCACGTCGGGGAGTCCCGAGCTGAAAAAATATGCCGGGTATACTGGAAAACTTCCACATTCGATGTAACATCGTCGCGCTACAAAAAACGCAAATAAGTTTGATCACAAGGGTTTACGCCAATCTGAAGTAACATACCCTCGATGTCCGCGGAGTCGGCAAAATGATGTTGGCGGAAGCGAATTAACATGTGTAACGATTTTTGCAGTAAATGAGGCTGAACGAGCAAAGATTTGTTTTAAGATTGGCCGTGAAATTTTGACGCTCCATTGAAAACCCGACGAACCTTACCTGTCTTGTTCGGGTTGAGGACAGGTGGTGGGGTACATATAATTCACGGGCGGAGCGGAACTGGGATTATGCGGTTCCACTGGAATGACATAACCTGTATCGAGATTCTTTTTTATTGTCTCAGTCTATTCACTCTTTAAACCACTATCTTTGACGAGCCGTAACTTCATTACTTGCAGTAACTCATTACTTGCTGTAACTTCGGCATTGCACTTGAAACATGTTGACAACAAATTAGCCGATGAAAGAAGTGGACCACTCGAAACCCATCCTACTGGCAGACGAAAAGCCATTGGAGTTTTCCTATCTGCATCATGAATATAATCGTGCGGGCGTATGTGGTGATAAAAACCTTGACCAATTGCCGTTTCGATGTCCGAATAACTCTACCAAACAAAAAAGCCGGAAAACCAACCTTTTGAGACCCATAATTAAGTTTATCTTTTAAGAAAGCGGATACATTGATGTATAATTGGTTGTATTTATGTCAGCGGGTAGTATTACCTCGTCTAACTCACTTGCTAACGGTACTTGCTTGTGTTGCTTCGCCGCTTTTGTAGGCGAACTTTACGGATTTAGGAGGGGCAACAGACGTTACTGCCTCAAATACGTGCCATGACTCTTTGAGAAGAAAGGGCTGCAAACTGTTACAGAATCCACGATGCGAGGTTCGGGTTATAGAACTGTCTGAAGTAGGCGAGATGACCTACAGGCAGTACTGCCGAAACAACTGTAGTCTGAGGAGGTAAATTTATATACGAAGGTGAGGGAAAGTTTTTAAAATTAGCAGACTTGACAGGCTCAGCATCAA